GTCGTGTGCTCTTTGAGCGTCTTGCTCATCGTCTGGATCTTGCTCTCCTGGATCTGCGTCAATTTGGTGTGGCTTTTGACCGTCATATCGAGCGTGTGTAGCTTGTGTTCGACCTGCTCGTTTGTCGACTCTTGGTCGTTCGTGATCTCAGTCACACGCTCGACGTGCTCCTCGAGCTTGCCTTCCAGCTCCACCACCGTCGCCTTCAGAGCCGCGTTGCTCGCTTCGAGTGCATCGAGCCGCTTCAATAGCACGGCAACGTCGCCTGTCGCCGTCGTGGTTTCCTGTTGCAGCGCGGCGGGCTTGTACGCTGGTTTCGCTTGTCCGTACTTGCTCGTCGGATATGTGGGTGTCTTGGTTGGTGCTGCTGCATGTCCGTAGTGCATCGGCGCCGTGTATGGCTTGTACGCCGTGGCTCCGTGGACCTTCGCAGGCTTGTACTTCGTCGCCGCCTTCCCGTGCCACGAATGCAGCGCTGCATGCGTCGGAGCCTTGTGCATCGCGGCCACGTGTCCGTGGTACGACTGCGCAGTCAGGTATGTGTACGCGTCAAAGGCTGTGAGCTTGCTTGGCGCGGGCAGCGCCGTCGACTCTGACGTCTTGAGCTTCTTGGACGTCATCTTGAGCTTCTCGAGGAGGGTCGTCGTCGTCTGCGCCGAGAGAGGTACGGGAGGGGTTGCTTCGAGCGAAAGCAGCACGACGTCGAGGAAGTCGCGCAATGCAGCGAGGGTCTCGACTTGGACACCTCCGGACATGGCTCGCCGATGGCAACTGACCTGGACCTCATTTTGACCAATCACAGCGAAGGGCATACATCCAATCCGCCAATCCAAAAAAGAGCCAATCATTTGACGCCGTACGGAGCGCGAGCCAATCCGATGCGTCATTTTTGGCGGGACACATCTTTTCAACCAGATAGCACCCGACTAGCAGCGCGGTCCGCCCGCTCTGGCATGGCAGACTTGCATACTCGCTAGAAGCGGAACTGACTCGATGTCGCATGCATATTGCAGCCCGCGAGGCGAGAACGACTGCTTGACGTATTTGCAACAGTGCTGGCTGGCAGTACGTTGATGTGTATGCATGAAGCAAACACCTCTTCTCATGTCCCGGCACAGCAGAGACGCAACCTCCTTTGTTCGAGTGTTCCGTCCACGGTGACCAAGCAGACAAAACGAGGCGCGCTTTCACTCGAGGAACATTTAAGCACCCTCAACGACGTCGAATAGCCTTGTGCGTCACAATGATGCCGGGGCAGCGGGCGCAGCAGCAAACGGTGATGGCAGTACTATCGAGCACCTGACGGAATGCAGAGTCTAACAGTGCAACCTCTTTAAGGTCTTTGTGGTTCTGATGGCACGCAGTAAGCACAATTAAACGCACGAAGCTACGTGCCGTCGTTCCTGTGCGACATCTGCCCTTCGCAAATCCTCTCGACAGCATTGCAGTTGCGAAATCGCAGCAAGTGGTGGTCCCGTGTTGCACCATGTACAAATCTCGCTCGCACATGTGCGTACACGCAGCGACTCGAGCTTGTCGAGAATTGGTGTACTTTCTACCGTCTACTGAGTGTGACAAAGCGTCATTGCAGATTTTGTTGGTGAGACGTGTGTGGGCGTCAGCGCGCGGTTAGAACTGGGGGTACCAATCCGTACCACAAAGTTGCATTCGTCCCAGTTGCAAAACTCCACTACATTGTGTCGTCGACGTATTGTACCTTGTCGTGAAGTATATTCCATAATTGACGTTTGTCGTGCGTGAATTCTGGCACTGTATTCATGGAAATGTTTTAGGGCTTCCGTCATGCATCGCCCTCGTCAATTTCACTTCATCTTGGTGTTGGGTTGAAATGCAAGGCTGCAGGGACACGCACTGCAGTACTCACAGTCTGTACTCACGCATGTGCGTGATGCGCTGCGTGTGTTGACGGTGCGTTTGCCGCTGTGACGTGGCAGAATATGCAATCGACAGTACTCGTGACGCATCCGGCGGAAAAGTGGACGTTTAGCGTATCGCCAAGGCACAACACAACAAGCTATAGCATCGTTAGGCGTTTTGTTTGCTTTGCTTGGCCGCGCCCATGCTCATTGTTGGATACGTGCTGCGGACGCAATGACTGGAGGTACAACACAGCTGGGCGTGTCTCGCTTGCGCGCTCGAAGAAAGAGGAACTTGCTGGGTGTGCTCGACATCTGCTTGACGATTCGACAAAGGCAGGTACAAAGACATGGGGCACTCTTGACATGCAACTTAGCACGACTCACATTTCCAAATTTGCATCACACTACGAACGATGGCCTTTTCCATGTTTCCTTCTTGGTGGCGCTTCAATCGCCAAAGCTCTTCCAAGACATCGACCGTCAGTCAAGTGCTCATCTCAAGCCGTACTGTGGCGACTTCGGACGATGAATACGACGACGAAGAGTTCTGCTATGGGATGACCAAGATGCTTCGCACCGATTCGATCTCATCCGAGACAACATTTATCGAATCGGAGCTTGCAAGCCTTGATGCTTGGAACTTTGATGAGGACGACGAGCCGATACCACTCCTCGATGCCGAGGCCACGCGCCGCCCGCCAAGTCCGATCGTTACCAAGCCTGTCCAAGGCAACGGCGTCTGGGCCTTCCATGACGATGAAGACGACATTGCGCCACCGCACAGTCCGCTCATGGCGCGTCGCCCAAACATCTACTACCCACCAACGAGTCCGATTCGAAACCAGCTCTAAGTCCATCATTTGATTGGCGTGAAACCCGGTCGTAGGCGTTTCTTCAGTTGTACTCTACTAGTCGAAGGTTAATTTATTCGTGTACAATTCTTGATTGCATGAAAGCTTCGGCGACTTATGCGCTAACGTGTACAAGTGCGTTAAGGACTCCACGTGCGTGCGCCATGTAGATTGGTGTTGATGGAGCCGCGGTGATAAAAATACGTCAGAAAGGACATCTTGTCGCGGTTGCGTGGAAGCAATATGAGGCGCGTGGCATTCCGCGCGTGCGCTTGTACCAGTTCAAGTCGTCTGTAACCCTCAGCGAGTGAAACCGCGACTCCTTTACCGGTATTAGGCTCGCTGCGGTCGCACACCTGTAGAGAAACAACGAATGCACGCCTCGCACAGCCATGCATTTGCCGCAAGCGCATCGCGATCAACGTTAAACACAGACGCAGCATAAGCGAAAAGGTCATTCGTACCCACGTACCGGTAGCTCGTCATGTTGGCGGAGCGATCATGTTACGTAGCGTTACGCGGCAGTTTCGCGAACGCACAAGGGTGCCCAGTATGGGTCGGCAGGCGTTATTGGTACCCCGAGCAGATGGCGATTTACATAAGGTTTTGATGTTTCAGCCAATCATTTCAATTGCCCTCTTCACCTACCCCCTTACCCGAACGTGAAAGCCAATCAGTGCTGGCATAACCATCTGCTCGGGGTACCAATAACGATTTCCAGTATGGGTCACAGTATAGGTGCCTATTCCTTGGGAATAGTTGCGCACGGATGGCACCCCGGTGTCCGGTGTCGTACGTAACATTGTATACGTCATTTTTGTTGGCATTGTCGTTGTGCAAACAAGCGCATTTTCGAGTGTTCCAGTATCACTGCCATACAGAATGAGGCTGATTGAAGCAGGCGACCTTGGACACGTAGGTTTTCACCCCAAGCCGTGCTTTCGAAAAAGTTGCAGTGCATTTATTGACATATCGATATCCACAAAGCTCACCACGAAGCGTACACAATCCATGAGTGTGTAGAGTCTACACACTTATGGATTGTGTATTGCTCCCACGGACTACACTTCACTAGCGATCTACGTCAATGGGACCGCCATCTTGGAGAACAGCATTCATTTGCACGACATTGCTAGACCCAACATGCAACCCGGGGCACAGAATTGTGGTACGGACACCTGTCGTGCCGAAGTGCTCGAAGAGGTGGCGGCTTGGAATAGAGACGGCGGCGCGGACTCGTCGGCTACCAGGTACAAGCTGCTACTACCATAGTGCTGTCGTTGTTGAAACGCTTTCTACAGTACCTGCAGTGCACGAGCTACCCCGGTAAGCGCCTTCTCTCTGACACCCCCCACTATTTCTAACATGTAAAACACCGCGCCTGTTGTGAGAATTTTTGGAGATTCAACACATTAGTTGTAACTTAAAAAAGAAAGAGGCCGCAGCTGCTGAAGGTATCATGGTCGTCATCATCAATATCAGACTGCATCGCCTTGGGTCTGGCGTCGACGAGATCATGCATTGACAGATACCCGCGCTCGATCGGAGCTCGCGCCCGCTTCGTGCGCAACGACGCTTCAAAGACAAGCCGCGCTTGCTTGAGGTCGTTGAGCCGATTGATGTCGTCGTTGTTGTAGTCACTCACGTGCTTGTACGTTTTGCGGTTAAAGTTGGTGAGGAGGAGGCGGTCGACGAGCGTCCGGCCCTTCTTGAGCCGCTTCGTGACACGCATCGGGTCGCACTTGAGCTGGGTCGAGACGTACTGGCGCAGCGTGGTCTCGCCGATGTCGTCTTCCAGGATGCCCCGCAAGAAGCACGAGACTAGATGCTGGAGAAAGTGGAGCTCTGGAGCCGTCCAACGACCGTAGTTGGCGTAGTGCACCATCGAGTTGCGAGTGTTTGAGGCAAAGGTAATTGGGAAATGGTTCCATTGCAGGCTTTCCACGACATTGAGAGCGAGCTGCTGCGACGTTGTCGCGAGCGGCAAAAGATAGCCGGGGCGTAGCATCGAGGAAACTTCGATCCGTTTGGTGCGTCTTCTTGAAGTTCGTTCCTCCCACATCTATCTGGGGCTCTCTATGAAAGGAGATCGTAGAAGCATCGAATGCATGGACTGAGAAATAGCGTTGGTAGCACGTACTAAGATCTTGCTCGCAAGTAACGAGATCCATGAAGTTGCGTCGCACCACGTAGAACCCAGCAGGCACACGCGCACCATCGACGCAGGACGCATGGGCTTCTGCGACCGTTGCGATCGAACGCTTCACGTCTATCAACGTTCGCTCGAGTCGAGGTGACGCAACGCGCTGCGCAAGACGCTCGGTTTTAGGGATTGAGCGCGAAACCGCACGGGTGTCGATGCTGCTGCTGGCCATCACTATCTGATGGCGGCTGGCTCGATCGCGGCGTACCCTTTCTACGACATAAGTTTGTGCTTGAATGGCTCTCTCAGGCACCGTTGCTGATGGCAGGTCAAAGATCGCAAAAATATATCTTTTGCCTCGGCCAATCAGACATGGTACACGTAAAAACGGTCTTGTGCACAGCGTGAGCTGCGCCGCAAGCGAGTTGGCTCGAGACAATCCGCAGCTCGACTCGCATGCTAGCGGGTTCTCTAGAGGCACTACTAAAAACGCTTCCGAAACTCACCAAGACTTATCTACAGACTCTTTCCACGTTCAATACACAACCCAAATAAGGCCATTGCCGTTATAGTCCGCGCGGCTTCAGTGAAATGTTTTGGTGGTGACACGGAAAGTGGTTTCCACCCGAGCAGATTAGAGCACTAAACAACTCGGAGGTCGAGCTCCCAACGCATATGTGCGCAGCTCACTCAATGGACTTGATCTTGCCTTCCCTCATTTTACGAACCTTGCGGTCGATTTCGCGTGGTTTATCCGATGCGTATCGAGCTTCAAGTCGCAAAGAATCTCGGCTGCGAAGCGCGGCGTAGCTTCAAGTAGCTTGAAAACCACGTGGAGTCCGATTCTTATGCCCATGCCATCGACGCAGGAGGTGTCAAGCCCAGGAGAAGAGTGGCGGTGCAGAGTAGCTGCCATGAATGTGGTCAGCGGTGCTGCTGCATCGGGGGCTGATTTGGCACTAGTCGTAACGCGCCAGTCGCCCGTCCTCCACACATCGTCGCTGCCAGATGCGAAAGCGGATATACAAACTTGAATGGACTCCAATTATAACTGCGCAAGCTGGAATTGAGTTTGAGAGCGCGTCGATATTGTGGCGGTCAAGTCTGACGTCCGACCCCGGCTCAGCGACGTTGAACACGAGCGGCTGGCAATGATCGACAGTTACAAGAGGTGCAGACATGGCAGTTACATGTCACCAATGAACGACAGGTAGCAGGTCAATCAGGCACGAATGACATCAATGGGACTTGACATGAACAAGAGTATTAGTGTATTAGATCTCAATGGGCTCGGCTTTCACGACGATTCGGTTCTCGTCTTCTAACTCCAAGAGGATGTCCCACAGCTCATCGAGCTCAGACGACTGGAGCAACCGCGTCTCATCGGGCTGGATGCCATGATTGATGCTGCCGTCGTCGACGTCCTTCTCTTCGAGCGTGCCTTCGAGCAGCTTTACGGGTGGCCATGTCGTCACGATCTTCCATTG